TCCACACTTGGCAAATAAAACCCACCAAACCTGTACATTCAAGGAAAGGTTGTGCTAACTGAATGAAGTAATGAATGTCTGATGAAGTAAAGGAAGTAACAAAGAGTCTTCTTCAAAGGTATGAAAAGGAGGGCAAGATGTGTTGCTGAACACCAGTCTTCCTCTAGCACTAAAGAAAATGAAAGGGTGCAGAAAGAAGTTTGTATTGACTAAGTCTTACGATAAAAGTACCACTTTAAACTGTGTGGGAAACATGTACATGAAGAATTGCAGAAGAGATGTGGGGACATATTTACATCACTTAAAGGAATGCTGATGCACACCAATGTATCTGTTCCCTTGTTCCTTTTCTGTGAACACTACATTTAGAGCAGAGGGGACTTTTTCTTGCTTGGCAGCCATCACTAGCCCAGCAGAGATAAGCAGATGTTACGGATCTGACTGTAGTTAGGAAAACATCATCCTTAATAGAAAACACTGCACTTATCCTAAAATGCTAGTTGTGTTTCCCCTTATAAAGTGTGGTACTTAGCACCTCACATTTTAAAAGGGAGAAAAACCCCAAAAATACTAGCCCCACAGTGCTGGCAGAAACCAGCACCCCCAAAGGAGAAAATCTAGGTTACAGTGAGTATTTGCTTACAAGACGTAAGAAATGGTGCCTGCATTCCACATGTTCTTCACTGCAGGGACAACCACAGCAGGAGGTGAGTTTCAAAAGCAAATGAGTGCTGAAATCCTTCAGTTGAAGGTTCATTTGCAAAAAGTTATATATGGCTGTTTTGATGAATTACAGAGATACTCAATCTGCTTCCATATCAACATGATACTACACTGTTTATGACAATTTTCTGGTTTATCAAAGAAAGTTCTCTTTTCCAAACAAGTATCCTTTGTTCAACAGAACTGTTAATTAAGAGAAGTTAGTCGGAAACTAAACTAAATTGGAAATAAAATGTATTTCAGAGGCATCTGTATCAGTCTAACAAGATCCAGACTGCTGTCACTGCCTGTAACTATGCAGAAGTAAATTCTTTAGGAGCTGCCATGGGCAGAAAACATAACCGAGCAAAATGCCAAAAGACAATGGTTTTGTGTTTTAATACTAAAGCCTAGACTTGCCCCAGTCCCAGAGTTACCCCAAGGCAGACCCTAGCTTACTGCTGCTGTTGAGGGTAAAAGCTGGGAGCCTTGCTGGAGGACTGCTGGACTCTGAGCTGCAGCAATTTTGGCTCCCTTAGTACCTGCTCCCTCACCCAGATCATAGGACAAGTTGGAAGGGAGCATGAGGAGCCCCAGAGTGCAAGTAATTCTGCAAACAACCTTTATGAACAGTGCAGAAAAGCTCTGCGGGCCACAGGCTCCCCAGTCTTACCCTGGGAGCTCTTGGATTGTACCTCAATAGACAGTGAGTTAGAGAAGGAATCAAGATGTAAACCAAGTCATGCATGAATTTAAACTGACATTTTTGTTTCTACTAAAAACCTGCTGTTGTCTTTCCAGGAATGCATAAACCCCAGCCAAGTATTTTCTTAATATGTACATAGGCCAAATGCCAGAGATTATATTCAACAAAAAGAAATAGACTGAGAATCTGGCAATACTGAATTTTTCTCAGATGTTAATGTAAAGGACTACATGATTAAAAAAATAGATTTTTGTCTCTTCACAGAAATTCACATATGGACATTTCAGAAGGTGGGGCCTTTCAATAAGTTCTCTGGGGTTTTTTATGTTTTTCCTGAGTAACACTAGTTACAGCATCCCATAAGAGTGCAGCTGTGGAGTATCAATGAAGGTGCTTCCTTCAAGTCCAAGTTATGTCCAAATTCAACAACTTGAAAGTAGAGTTTCTGTGGCCAGTACATTGTTGGACATCCCAGCCATCATGGATAAATGTTCTCTGTGTATACTTGCCAGGAGAGGGGCATCATAAAGTGGTGGCAAAAATTATATAGCAGCAGTAAACAGAAAACACACACACACACAAAACAATGCCTGCAACAAGGATACACCACAATCTTTGGATTAATTTACCTGAAGAGATTTTTCTTTTTCTGTCTTTAAAAACAAAATAAACAAAAGAAATGCTCCAAACCACTGGTGGCTTCACAATTAAAGAAGTGATACGTATAGATCAACATGACCAGTGAGGAACTGAAAATAAAACTGAGCACTCCTTTGCAGATAGAGAGGCAGATTATCTACCAAACTCAAAGTCAGGATTATTTCTGAACAAGAATTACCAGGACAAAACCTAATGTACCAAAATGGGATTATTCTAATCATGTTGGATACACCTTGAAAGCTATTAAAATGGTCAATTTTACAGTCTGGTTTTCTGTACTGACACTAGGCAGTACGGTGGTGCTAGAAGGAATGGTCATTCTGGTCTGGCTGTGACAATGAGACTATTTTTGAAAACCTAGGAAGGAGAGCACAGAGAAAATGTAAAGCAAAAATTCAGTCAAGAGTACATTAGGACAGAAAGTAATCAACTGATATGCTGATAGAAACACATCAGGCTGTATTACCTGAATAGCCAAGAAACATAAATACCACACTGCCACCATATCTTTTATATCTGTAACTGTGTCATCTGATGGCAGATGGAAACTATTCTAACTTCATTTTTTATACTGTCAGCAGAAATAATAATACAGATTATTATTATTATACAACTGCATGCAAGTCACACAAAAACGCACATGCTCTTTTTGGCAAGGCTCTTCAGCTTAAGGTGTCAGTGCTCAATCCCTCTGTCTTCCTACAAAACTTCTTTTAGAAAGTGCAAAGGGCATCTCAGTGAAGTTTGGCTCTGAAATAATGACCACTTCCTGAGGAAGAACTGTCTCTAGATGAAAAAGGTTTCTGCAAACGATGAGGTCGGAGTTTCTACTGAGAAGCAAGATCGGTAAGGAAAAGGATTTAAAAAAAAAAAAAGGTCAAAAAAAGTGAGGTGATCAAAACAAGAGAAGTGGAAGAAAAGAAAGCAGCTGTATAAAAATCACATTATCAGTAGGATGTTGCAAAAGAACAGCTATTCAGGCCTTACTGACAGGGAAGAACCTGCACATGTTTGTTCACAGAATGAAGAACTGAAAATAACACTTCCAATGCAGGCATTTTACTTCAAAGCAGACCAAGGTAAATGCACCACAGTGCCTGGGCACACTGGGATGGATTGATTTAATCCATTTATTTGAAATGGAACCCTTCTTTGGGCTGGGCTACAAATTGTTTAACAACTTCTTCCTTGAATTCTTCAAAGCTACAAACTCCTCCTTATTCTTTCTCAATGAGCATTTACATTTCTGATACAAAATAGAAGATCTCCATTAGAGGAAGACAACCACCACAGATATTTAGCATTGCCACCAGGGGACATTCAAGAGAGCAAAAAAATGACAGGCCAACGCCCTGTAGGTACAGGAGGAAGCTGAACCTCTAGGAGACCTTCCACATTTCTGCAATTTGGTATCACACTATATTTCAGGTTTTGTCAACATAGAGCCAATTTTTTTCCAACTATAAACAGCTGTAAATTTGAACCAAATACAATGAACAGTTTTAGGGAGACCAGAGCACGCACTTTCTTTCTCTGCAAGCAATCAACTGCCTACCCTTACTTAACTGCCCCGTTTCCAGAGAGAAAGCCCTCTAAAAAGTATTGATAGGACGAGTTATCCTTTCTTGCACTCACTATAACACTGTCAGTTTGTTAAGTTCCCCAGAAGAAATAGTTACGTTACTTCAAAAGTAATGGTGACTTTCAAAACAATCCATTTCAAAAGCAAGATGTTACTTTTCATTCACAGAATGAAGACTTTGAGAATTTACATTCTCTTTTGATTTGTGTTCCAAGAGAAACCTAAATCCAAGTGTTTTTCCTTCCAGCTATACTTTTTATCTGGATTCTGAGAGGATTTGCTGCCTTAGAAAATGTGTACTGGGCTCTGTTTGGGGGTTTATTTTGATGTATAATGAAATCAAAATCAGAGGCAACAGATCCCTGAACAGGAACCACAAAGATCAGGAATTGCTTCTCTGTGTAAGGCAATAAAAAAAGAAGTTTATTCCTATTGAGTTTCAGGGTTCAGCACATATAGCAGGACTCTCAAATTCTGTCTGGTGTTTGCACAAAAAAAAAGTCCCATACAGCAGAAGATTAAATTAGTTCTTTTCTACTCCAACCACCACATTAGAGAGCCTAGTTAAAACATTCCTTGACACAGTCAAACCTTGGCTTTCTTCTGAAGCATAAAGATGACCATGTTTAACCTAGCCCTTGAATCAGATGATTGGTGCTCTGGTCTGTTTCAAGCACACTGCTAAAACACAGCGATCCTGGGTGACTGCTGCCCCGAACAAACAGCTCCTCCTTCCACCACTCACTGTGCAAGGCAAAAGGACCATTCAAACACCAACAGAGTGGAAAGCAGTTTTCTTTCAGTTCACTCCAGCTACTATTCTACACTTTCTTTCTCTCCCCTCAACACGCAATCCTGTCAAAAGAAATCAGCCTCTCTTTTTACTCAAAGACTGGTTTCCGATTGCCCCCACGCATATGGAAGATTTCAACATCAAAAATGTTTGCACACAAGAGATTTCATTTTCTCCCAGTTTAAACATTAAGGGCTTTCTTCCTGCTTCTGAACTAAAAAAAAAAATATATATATTAATAAAAATCAAATATATTGTAGTTACTGATGAAAACTGTCTAAACAGCCAGACTAGTTATGAACAGTCAGTGATGACAGACTACCATATGTTAAGTTTCCCATTACTGCACCAGAAAGTGTTATAATCACCTTAATTACAGCAACAGTGATATTTTCCCCTCAGTGGCAATGTAATGCAAGAAAGTGCAACTTCTGTTCTGCCATGTATTACTGTCTATAGCAAAAGTGAGCACATGTGCATATTGTCAGCATTTGTGCAAACAGATCGTTGCCAAGTATGCAGATAACCTCAAAAGAATGAAAGAAAGTAAACTTTACCTTGTGTGTTTTGTTGAAATATTTTGTTCAGATCCAAAGAAGAAGCTCTGGAATGTGACTTCTGTGGCCTTGGAGGTGGCGTAGGGGGCTCTTCTCCCTTTTTTATGGCATCTTCTATTGATGTGCTAGAATAAGACCTAATGAAAAACAGGAGAGAAAAAAAAGCAGAAAATATTTTATTTCAGAAATACATTTTAAACCACCACAATGAAGAGTACCTAAAACCACACTGACCAGGACTCAGGTTCATAGTGGAAATTCCTTGCCTTAATGACTGAAAGTTTCCCCTTAAAATAAGGCGGATTTATTTGGCAACCGAGGGACCTAAGCATCTGGACAAAGGAACAAGTCATGCTTACAGGGCTAGTATTTTTTAAGGTCCTTTATATCACAGCTTCAGGCCTTCTTAGGTAACTTCAACTGTCAACAGGATAATTGTAGCAACAATTTTGAATAAACCTGAGTAAAATTCTCCACCCGCCCCTCTCAACTGTGTGGGTACCGTTTATACAGGTATAGCTTCAATCTACCTCTTACAAGTACACATTTTGTAATTTATAATATCTTAACTATTAGAGTAAATTTTTCATAGCAAAAATTCGCCAAATTCCACAAATTCCAGAAAAACAAATGGCTCCAAAGTGACCAAAACTGGTCAAAATACATGGCTCAGTACATCTTTCCAGGCCCTTCCACACCCCATTAAGCCCAATGCAGGGCATTCACTAAGAATTCTGAGTTTGCCGAATAGTGTCCAATATTTTTCAGCTGTTGTAGTTACAGTTTTTCTGCAAGTCCGAGAGCTTTGTTCAAAATGAGCCTTGACAATGTGAGATGTTACACTTACTGTAACACATTATACATGACAAGAAAGACCAAAACCACATTTGAGTAGAACAGAAATAACTCCCACTAATGGGAAATGGATCATTTTTTTGCCAAACAGGCTGTTGTTAGAAAACAGCTCTGTAATGGGACAGACATTTGGCAATGCTGATCCTATGTTTCTGATGTAAACTTTAATAAATACAGGAATGAAAGCTGTAATTTCTTCAAAATGTACATGTGAAACAGAAACCTGTGCTAACGATGAATTTTTTGTCTTGGTGGAGTTTTGGATTCCATAACCTTATCATATGAGACTTAACCCAACCCCTCTGAAATAAATGGAAAAGCTTAGAATCAGGATTTATGCTTTAACTTTCCCTATTATGTGGTGTATATTTTATTTGCATTAAAATTGTACTACCTAACATATGAGCTTTTCAACTCTCTTTTTTTAAAGCTCAAGTAAGGTAACAGCTGCCAGGAAAAAATATATGCCAGCTCCAGCAATGCCAACACAGAGCCCCATGACAATGAATTGTGGCTTGCAGCAGACAGACCTGGCATCTAAACATCAGTTAAGAGTCTGCGGCTAAGAATCTGCACAGATTAAGCTATAAAGCCAGGCTCCAGAGCTGAGAGCTGTAACAGACTCAAACTGTAGCCTCTGGTGGTCAAGCACACCTCAAGACAAAGACCTTCGAGTTTATAGAGCCCTCCAGGGACAAGCACAGCTGCACATCTGAGTTTAAGGATGTATACAGGAATCCTTAGTCTGAATTTCTGCATTGAAGTGGTGACATATAGTCAGATGTGAGACAGTCATATGTGACACAGTAGTCACATTCAAATTACTTTTTTCCAACTTTTTAAAGCATTTTCTATTTTATGCATTTTTGCATAAAATACTTCTCATGTTTTTTTCCATATTTGCAATTTATGATTCAGCAACACAGCAAGAAAATTTAAAACAGTATGAAAACTAAAAAGCTTTGGCTAGCGGCAGAAAAATAGCACACAAGGCAGTTCAGCCTTCGTGGATGTAGGTACTCAAAACAGGATTTCAATATTAATTCATCATGCTTATAGCTGATCCTCTCTTATTAGCAGGCTTTGACAAGCTTGTAAGGAGGGAGCTCCTGATTATATTCTCATTACCTAAGAAAAAAAAAAATGAAGCACTCTAACTAGCACGGAAAAAAAAGAGTTTGAAGGTCAGTGCACAATATGACTATACACCAAAATGGTGGATAGCCAAACCAAATGTAATCCATTTATAGACAATATTTCCTGGCACAGGTTTCCCTTTTCTTTCAAACATCCAAATTCAGCAGGTGTCATTTCTAGCACACAAAAGCGCGAGTCCCTAAGTGCTCCCATCACGTGCCAACTAGTCACAGTAAAGTACACACGCACACACCAACGAAAGGATTCACTCACCCCCATCTGAGAGCTGAGCTACCACTGCTGTTTCTGTGGGAGCATGCAGTATCTCCCTCCATATGCAATCACTGAGCAGGTTCCAACAACACAACATTGCTGAGAAGGTTTCCCACAACAGGCTGGTCCCCACTGTCCCACCACGATGCCCCTGGGGCTCACCAGGAAGCATCCACCGCCCTGACAAGGCAGAGGGGCTGGGCAGACAGGCAAAAGCCCCAGTGCCTTATGACCAGAGATCACAGGGCCCTAGGGCAGTACTTATGTAGGGTCTATAACTTACAGATCCCTCCCGGTAAATCTGATCTGAGCTGTACTTCCAGCACACCACCAATTAAAAAAAAAAAATTTAAATGCGACACCATTTCTTACACCTGTATCTAACACCAGAGGAACGTATGTCTTCTCCTGAAATAGAAATGAAAGCAGTACCTGGATCGTGGTCTGGCTTTAAGTGCATTAGATTCCTGAGCAGCTGGAACAGAAGAAAAAAAAGAATCACTAAAGCATCATATTTTAAATAAACGCCTGTAGCTGCAGAAAGTGTTCATTAAAAATGTGAGCGTTGCAAATGTGGATGCGAGAGTGTGCTAATCTCACATGAGCAACAGGGATTGATTTTCGCTTCCACTTCCCCTTTGTTTTTGTAGCATGTGAAGGGCCTAAGAATTCAAAAGCCCACATGTAGTCAGCACTTCACCTTTTAATTTGGTTACCAGAACAATGTAAGAGCATCTGATAGCTGTGACCTGTACTACTGTATGTAATTGTGACAAAGCAACATAAGGAATATCATAAACTTTCCACAGAAAATATCTTATTCCTAGTCCAGATATCTATTAGCTGTCCGATTCCCAAGTTACAAAAGTTTATGCCCTTCCTAAATAACTAATCAGTATAAATGTATATCTTCTCACTGCCCACAAAAAAAAAATAAAATTGACACATCAGGTTGAAACTTCTTTGACATTGGGAAGGAATGATATTTGAAGGTAGAAAGCTTTACAGGCTAGATGTTGATCAAACACATTTCTATCAATGTAAAAATCTGTTTCTTTTATTTGGATCAATTCCAAATATCCTGCCACATGCAGGTTTTGTGTGATAGGCAAACAACAGTGCTGACTTATCTTCTCTGGGTAATTCCTCAAGGCTGTTGCTTGGTTTACATAGTCTTTTTGTGATTTTTCTGTTATTCTCCTTACTAACATCAGATAATTTTGAGAAAACATATCTCTCTGATTGCTTTCAAATTCTGCCCACTGAGACATCCTCAAGGTATTACAGCAGCATCAGTGATCCCAATGCACACAAAAAGGGAATCTTAGTACTTTTCCCATTATTCTGCTAATCAAGGTACAACACTTAAGAGAAGCAAGTAGGTTGAGGAGAAAAAAAAAACCAAACAAAAAACTGTTTCTAGCTTCCTTCAGATATATGCCTACTTTCAAGTCAGACATTTATCTATCCCCAGCTACTACACGTCACTACCTGAGAATACAACAGATCCTCTAAAACCTGGAGCTGGAGCTACCTGTGGGGGCAGCTGGCATATACTGAATTTGTAATGGCTTGCATTGTAGTACTGCACAGACCCTCCATAGGAGGCTTTAGGCTCACAGAAGACAAGTAACAGCACATGGCACACATGTAGCCATACAATATTTCTTCATAAAAGAAACTGCTTTTAGGGTTATTCATTGTTAGATGGTGCTTTGGATGGAATAAACCCACATGCAGCTGGCAATAACACAAACAACCACTTATAAACCAAGTTCCAGTAGATTATTGTCACCACCAAACTGGCTCATAGTCATTCCAGATTTCTGTGCAACAAACTCTTCCTAACAACTAAAGGAGGGAGAGGGAATTATTAAAAATATGCAGTGGTGATAATCTTCCTCTCTGTGTCAAACTCCCAGAGAATACAACTTCAGACACTGCATCCCTACAGCATATGACCCAATTCTTCCAATGCTGAAATTGCTGATTATTAAGTTACATGCACAATTACTAAATACATGCCACTTAGAAATAGGAAGTATAAATCCTTTCCAAGCTAAGCCATGCTTAAGAACCTTCAAATTTTCTTTCCTTTATGGAGACTGCAATTCTATTCATACTTCTTTTAGAAAGCCTTTCATCTAAAAACCTGCAGGTAAAACTGACATTAAAACTCTCCAAGGACATCTTGTTGAGGTAAACAGGAAAGCAGACAAGGACGAGAGAATCCGGAAATGACTACTAATAAAAATTGATAGCAATAGAATACTACTGCCAAGGATTTTCTTTTAAGCTTTTGAAAAATCAGGAAATTCAAGGCTACAGTTACACAATACCCAGACTTAGCTTTACCTTTCAAAAGGGGTAATACAGTATAAATAAAAATATTATAAAGTGGGTACTTCATTATTAGGACATACAACAGTGGCAAGATTTCCATAAAACATGCAGTTATTTTTGTATGCTCAGACTGTACATACTTTGTGTTTAAGGTTCAGGTTTATGCACGTACATCACATAATAATTCAAGATAACACAAAGCTATTTACCCAGTTCATGAGTTTTCCATATTTCTATCATTATGGATATGTCAGGCTAACTTCCATGAAACTGATAAAAAGGTAAAAAGCTGTTGAGTAAATGAATTACATTTATTATTTAGAAGTTTGTACAATTCCTGGAGTAGTAAAGCCTGATGAACTGAATAGCTTGGTCTGCACTGAAGTCATATACAATCACAAACTCTTATTTATTCATTCACAGGAGAGCATGAAGGTTCCTGTTTTGTGTGTTTAACTGTTCTCATGCCCCACTTCCAATACAACTTAATTTTATCATTCCAAAGAATGCCGATTCAGTAACTTTGGGCTGTGGCCTAATACCTTATATTCAACTAGTGCCTCCTTGCTTTACAGGCTGAAGATTAGGTGGAAAATTGTACCATAAAAGGTGCAAGTATGTCACATGGCTCAAGAAAAATACAAAGCATTCCTCACTAGTCTAAATGACCCTCACTGACTCATCTCTTAACAGTGGCCTAGGCAGAAATGTACAGTCTAAATGCTCACAAATTTGGTACTCAATTCTTTAAAAGTCTAAGGCAAACAATAATCTTGCACTTAAGAGCCTAAATAAACTGTCCAAATATTCAGAGATGCTGAGCATATAAAGTTTTTACTGATTTCAAGTTTCTAGTTCTTCTGATGGCAAAGAAAACTTTCCTGTAATGAAGCACAGCAGTATCATCTTTCCTGAATTTACATGAACAGCCCAAATGAAAAATCAAAGAAGGATGTAAAATTTCTCCCACTTCATCCCAACTGAGTTTTCATCTTGAAGGTTAATGATTACAATGACCTTTTGGAATGGTGACCAATTCTGAAATAACTACTCAGTTACTGTGCTGTATCTAGCCCACTGGAGAGACAAAACATTTTTACTTCTAACACCAATCATACCATGCAAACTGAGAGCATGCTTGCTCAACCCTCAATGTGCAGGACAGCAAGGGTGAAACCCCTACAGTGACAAGAGTCATGATGATGGGGTGAAACTCTGCCACTGCTTCCCTTGGTACACAAACACAGCACCGCTGCTGGAGAAGCACAGCAGCACTGGGAAGACCTCCTTGACTAGGAGACAAAGGACATAGGGAAAATTCGAGGTCAGTGGCAAAGGAGATGTGCAGGTGACAGATTTTTATTTTTTTTTTTTCCTAAGAGTACTGAAGACTGAATCGCTGAACTGAAAGTCTTGCAATCACCCCCCTCTCCCCCTGAGAGGGAACTCTAAGAGTGTGTGTGTGTGTGTGTGTGTGTGTGTGTGTGTGAAGGAGAAGCAGCAATCATTTGAGAATAGGAGCTGAAGATAGGAAATCTGGCAGCTGCCAAGTGTTTGGGAAGAAGCCAGGAAAAAAAGAGTTGGGAAATGAGGCATGCAGCTGTTGAGCAGCCTTGAATAAATCGAGCTGTAAGACAGAACTGCTGTGACAGACATGTGGGGTCAGTTTTCTTAATCAAGGGTATCTTCACAAGTAAAAACATTTATGCAGAAGGAAAAGAAAGCAAGTCCAGATTTTAGCTTAACGGCGACCAGGGAGGGTTGCGCTCTTGCCACTCTAGGAAACAGATTAACAAAGACTAAGGCAAGGGAGGTCTGATGAAGTGAATGCATGGGAAGTTTCCGGAGCAACTAAGCAATTCTGACATATGCTGTTCCAGAAATAACATTTTCCAGTATGATAGGAACAAGGAGTGTATGTTGGACTTGGAGAGAGAAAAATCAGGGGTGGTTTCAACAAAGAAACATCCCCTGAATCAAAAGCTTACATCAGTGCTGTAAGTGCCACAAGGTCTGTGTTTCCAAAAGGCTTTCTGCCCTTGAACTCCTTGACAGAAAACATAAGCTCAGTTTTTATAAAGAAACAGGCCATTTCAGAATAGTTACTGAATACTTAAGCCATACTTGAGAAGAGCTTTTATCAGGAGGCACAATATTCATGCTCTAGCATCTTGCTTGTAGTACAGAAAAAACAAAATTCAGACTCCTTACAAAATGCTACATTAAAAACATTTCCCACACATGAAAAATGCACATACACTAACAAAGGAACAAAACCAAGAAAACCTTTTGGAAACTTGAAGTACTAATTAATTCTGCAAGTAGTAGTCTTTAGGAGGCAAAAGCTGATTTTACTCGTAAAATAGTATGAGAGCAAAAGGATTTTAAAATTAAACAAATTACATTAATTTAGGCTTACTGAGATATAAAAATATTTGATTGATATTCTAATGCAAGTAACACGTCAATTTTTTCTTACTTACTTTTCACAGTTAAGTGCTGAAATTCCTTTGGTATCATTTTGAGAGCAGTGCTTACTTTAAGAGCTTAAAGAAAACAAAACAATGAGAATTACTTTAAGTATGTGCAGATAAAAATCTACAGTAGCTCTGACAAAGGAGCACCTAAATTGGTATTAGTTTAGTACATCTAATAATGCTAAACATCGTACTCAAAAACAGAAGTAGCCAAATACCCTCAGAACACCCAAACACTCAAAAAAGTAACAATTTTTAAGAGACAAGAGTCAAGAACAGAAAGACCTATGTCCAAATTGCAAATAATCCTGGTTTTTAAGAATTTGGGGGTTTGGTGTCTAAATCCATGGAATTCTGCTCCGGAGATGCAGTGCTATCAGAGAGGTAGCCCCTGGTGACACTTGGCAGAGCCGGGACACACCTCTCCCAAGTTACAAACCAGTAAAGCCAGGGCACACGACAGACTGCTTCTGGCAACTGAAACCTCACCAGCCTGCCCCAGGGAATGTCATATGGCACCAACAGAACCAGGGTTAAAATTTAGGAAATCACAATCTTTGTGCTTATTCCCCTTCCATTGATGCCTACACATCCTTTCTCAGGCCATTCTTAATGCATTGTTATGTATTTTAATGTACTGAAATAAAAGACCACTTGGAATGAAGTCTCTCATCTTCATCTCCCTTTACCAAACAAAACATGGGAAGTCTGGTTCTCATGATCTAGTTCTATTTAGTCCTATTTATATTATATTCCACATTTAACTATATTATAACCTGATAGAGTAGAGCTAAGTTACTTGCACAGTTTTGAAAATGCAGGAAAACTTGCTTCTGTGGTTCTGAACTACAGGTTCTTGACTTCTGGAGAGATCTCATCACTCGGGAGAGCAATCTGCTCTTTCATTTGTCAGAATAGCAATAAATGGTAGAACAAGAGGCATTTGTTCTTTGGCTGAAAAGGTAGGAATCTATGTCATAAACACAACAAATCTTCAGCCCTGAAGGACTGCATGTACTAAAGCAACTTCCCATCTGACTTAACACGTCAGCTACCAAAAGCAAAGCATAAGTTCTTCACCTACACAGGGAAGAAAAAAGATTCCCCAAGTAAAAAAGTAAATCTGCCCTAGACATATGAAAGCAATAGCCTTCAAGGTTCAAATCCTGCTGTTGTTCATTACAATTTTTACAACAAAACAAACCTTGTCAACAAAGCATTAATTTCTTGGAATATGCTGACTTAAAGTGTTTTACAAACACCCATCAATTCTGGCAACCTTTCTTTGAACCAAGGACATTGAGAATCTGCCAAACTCAAGTCACATATGAGTGTGGAAGATGATTCAGGAATGTGAACTACCTGGTCTCACAGCTCTGATGCAACCTCAGCATGTGGACAGCTGTTGAGGTCAAGATTTCTAGGGTTTTTTTAATTAATGTATAATCCACAGCTCTGAGAAGGCGGCAACAAAATACCCACAACTATTTGTTTCCATAGTTGAGGGACAGGGACAGCGACAGCAGGTGAGAACCTGGAAGGTCAGGGAACAGGCATATAAAAGGGAACGACTGTGTGATGATCCAGCACCATTTCTGGAAGTCCTAATCAATGCTGAATGGAAAAGATGACCAACTTCAGTGAACATGGTTTGCTGCTGACTGATTTCAAATGAAATAAATTAACCGAGTATTTTCAATACAGTTTGTCCAAAACTTTTGTTTTTCAGGAAAGTATAGGGACTTTTTTTAAAAATAGGAATAAAAACTATCTTTTAAGTGTTGCTATTTCCTGCAACATGGGAAATCCAAAATTTGGCACAATGTAGCCTTTACTCTTACAAAATTCCTGATAATGACAATTACAACTTCGTTAAAATACAAAGTGCAACATTAATTGCCCTAGGACTAGACATATTTTAGAAGGTGCATTTCATATCATGCACATGACAGAACTAACTTTGAAGCAAACGCATCCATTTATTTGTCTTCAACTCAGCTGCTGTATAAACCTATGGCAACACATAGACAGCTTAGAAATTAAAAATGCCATTGCTTCTGTCAGTGAATATACAGAACTACTAATAACACACAGAACTTAACTCATAATGGGGGGTAGGAGGGGAAGTGATTTATTTGAATACCTTGTTTGTCATCTTTCTTTGCATCTTGTAACAGGGCAGAGTTATCAGGTACCTCTTCAGCTGATGCCTTCTTAAAGAAAGAAGATTTATTATACTGATTGGCACAGCTCCCACATTTCCACAGTCAAATATATAAGAATACAGAGCAACACAAATAAAGGTGATATTCTCTCCTGCACCATGATTTGCTTTGTAAAATAAAGTAGCATAGAGGATCTTCAAAAAGACAACTGTAACTCTGCTTTTCAAGGCACAGTAGTTCCATACCTGAAATTAGTTTGAGAAGCACTTCACAGTGACTCACAAGGAACTAAGGGCTATACGTAAGGATATGCTCACAACAGAGCAACATCATTCTCTGTTTTCTTTTCTCTTTGGGTTTAACACCTCTGTTAGGGTTGGTGAAACTTTCTCCAGCACCTTCACCAGAGTTACAGTCTCCATCAGAACAGTCTCTCTAGCCAAAACTCAAGCTGTACTACAAAGCCCTGTAGTTCTACATCTAAAGTCTTCTAGCTGAGGTAGATCCTTGGACTACTCTTTTTCTTTGAGCATACAGCCATTGAAATGGGAAGACTAAGTTCATCAGCCTGTCTGCTGGAGGCCCATTCAGGCCTCTGATGGGAAAACCAGGGAACTTCTCCCCAGTCTTATTCTTTGACTTTTCTTTATTTCGATAGCAACTTATAATACAGGCATTTGTTGTTTTTGTAAATTCTGCTGCAAAGAAACCAGGAACAAATTCTACTACCATTATCTGTAAGAACAAGCATATACTCTGCAATCAAAAGAACAATAAAGCAAACATCAGAAGCCCCAAGCTTCCCTCAATATTAAGTAATGCTTTCTTTTTCCCAGGGAGCATGAAAGATGTTGGGCCTAAAAAATTATCTGAAGTCCACTGGGCCTAAAAAAAAAAATTAATTCAGAAACATAGATTTTTCAGACATTTTAAAAAACCCTAAAAATCTCAAGTCAGTAAGTAATTTGAAAAGGTCAAGTCCAGAATAAAGTGCTACCAGATCTGTTTTATAAAGTTGTACATGGGATTTCCTAATGCTTCTGAGGAAGCAACATAGCAAAAACATGGCTTGAGGACTCTGAAAACATTTGTACAAAAACTTCACAACACTAACTAGCCCTGACACTCTTTACTTCAGAGTGCCAGACTAAAGACCTAATTCACTGCATGCTTGAATTAATGGAATGACTCTCACAAATTTCAGTGAGATGTGAGCATGAATTTCTGAGGGTGTTTAGAACAACCCCAGCCAGTCATTTTATGCATATAGTGCGAAATCTTGTGTTTTATCTTTAAGCTTTTGGCAGCAAGAAAGCTTGTAGAAAAGAGCCAAAGGAATGGGGGGGGGGGAAAAAAAAAAAAAAAAAAAAAGGCCAGAACCAGAGCGGGAGACAAAAACTTAAAGGGAAAAAAAACAACACAGGAAGACAAAACCTCCTTGGTTAACAAAAAGCAGTCATCCTTGTCAGTCTCAAGAATAACATTAGAAGCCTTTGTGTGTTTTGTAAGTTTAACAAAGCCTAGCATTCAGGTGACCTGTCTCCTATCATTATTTTCTTTATGTATGCATTCAAGAACTGTTCCCATTGTACTGCAGTACTGTAGTTCAGCAGTCACAGTAAAAATGGTCTTCTGAAATTAAATTAAACCACCTGAATGGATGATAGGTGGAAAGAGACAAAGACATGGAGATAATGCATAACTGATTTTACTGATAATAGAATATTTTTAATGTAGTGATCAAGCATCTAAACTATATTTCCTCAAGTAGCCAAGCTACAAACTAAATCTCAAGTGTGAATTACTGCACTTCCCACAGAGGGAGATGAATCACTGACCTTCCAAATGATATTCATTCAGTGCATTAATTCTGAACACAAAAATATCAGTTAAAAAAAAAAAAAGGGGCGAAATCAGAGATTTTATAGTCCATTAATCCTGGATAACAAAGGACCAAAATAACAAGGCCCTAAACCAAACTGAGAGCTTTGTCTGCACATCTAGGACCCAGACAGTGAAGAAATGGAGCAAACCCAGTCAAACAATTGTGATATAGTCAGGTAGCACTACCTGTGCTTAGCCAGCAGGCAATCATGCTACAGATTCTTATTCAGTTTCAACCTAGCCATAAATCCCCCTGATTTTACAGAACATCCTTGCCATCTTGCAGAACCTAGGAATGGAGCAGAAGATCTAGATGTTCCCCCAAGAACATCTGACAACAAAAGCAGCGCAGTAATCTGCAAGTTACTGGCAGTTATGGTGAGAGTCTCTCAAGGAGGAGAGCACAAGATAAAACAGAGGTCTGAAATCTTAATTGCTGAAAATCAAATTAAAAATTAAACATAAAATGAGGGACTTGTTGCTTGTTTGTGTTTTTTTACATTTTGTACTATATACCCTCTACAGCTATTTAATTATTACTATTATATTTCTACGATTATCATCTCCACTACAGTAGAAATATCTGAAAAGCAGAAAAACAGAGAGTTTAATTGCTTAGGAAATCGTCTCCTCCTAGATTTATCCTTATGCTGCACATACATTGAAGGACTATAAACAAGACGATCCTAAAAACAAGACATTAACAAAAATTATAATATTGCATTGGTTAGGTTACTGAAACATCATTTTATTTCTAGGAAACACAAGATGACTCTGAAAGCTAGATTTCTAAGCTTTATGAAATACGTAAAAGAATGTTGCAATCTTACAGTCCCAAAGGCTGTGCTACTAAAGAGCAAACTTCCTCACAACACTGCAAGAACCAAAAACCACTTTGCATATCCGGATAAACACTTGTGAAGTCAATATCCTGATAAAAACAAAGGCTTCCTAAACCAGAGATGCTGAAGTAGATCCTTCTACTTTAAGTGTCCTAGTAAAAAAGTCATGAAGCTACATAAACTGAAACTTTTTAATTATGTGTATAAAATATACATAATTATATATTTATATTTTTAATATATTTATATATTGTGTCTGTATTTTTTTTATATCTGCATGTGTATTTGTACCATGCACATGAAACTGGAAGTGGAAAAAGAGAAGCTGATACTCAGGGATCTTGCCTACTGACAAAAATACATTTGAACAGGGATGTGACAGTTTTCAATGTAGAAGACAAATAATTCTCTCTAAACATGAATTATCTTAAGCTGATGCAGTGAGTTAATTCAAATACTCAGTTGACTCTTACTGAAGTATGGAAATGGAGTTATGTATATGTGTACATACAGAGGCTGACATCAGCAAATGAGTTTTCAACACAAATCGCCTTGAATTTTGCCTCTTATGCTTGTTTAAATTGCAAACCAATACGCATATATGCTAATGAGGCACACTCTCAATGGACTGTTGAGCTTTGCCACACAAGGGCACAGTGAGTAAGTGCTAGCGAAGCGTGGCCTGTGGCATAATCTCGCAGCCCCTGACAAACCACCCTCACAAAATAAGGTCATGTGCAAGGGACAAGGCTGTTCTGCTACAGGAAAGCACCTGACTACACTGTCAAAGCACCAGCAGCCCACACTACCAGAACAGCAGTGCTGCTTTCAAGCTCACTATGACTGCTGTACTTTGGCCAAGCTGCTGTACAAAGAGCAACACCACCCAGGGAGACTGCATAAGTTTTTAACAATTCCAGAAGATAAACTGGATACTCAAAGCATTGGCTGCAGTATTGCCCGAAGTGAACACTGCGCTCCATAGCAGCTTCGGAGAGTCTGCCTGGTGGTACCACTACTGAGCTGAATTTGATGAGGGAACAGCTGAGTGCTGATCCAGAAACACCTCAGAGCAAGGCATCAGGAAGAAATAACTGGAGAACAGCCTTGCTGAGCTGCCAAGACATACCATTACTTTTTAACTTGGAAGCAGTATCAGAGGGCCCATTCTTGCAGTCAGTCTGCCATCTGATTCACTACCTTAAACAATAAACCCTTAAATCCCCTAGCATATATATTCAGAGCTGCAATATCCAAGCACAACTCAGTGGCCATGGTCAGTTCACCTTTACAAGATCTTTAAAGTTTCAGTCTTTAACTTCAGTGATAAAACTTTTCTCCTTAATTTAATTTTGCTTGCAACAGTCTTCCATTGCAAGGCTGGCATCTGTTGTGATATTGCTATAACGGATCTCCATTCTTCTCTCAAAACACTCTTCCCAGATCCTTACAATTACTACCTAGACCCTTAGGTGGTAGTTCCTTAGACTATGAAAAGGCTGGATATTAAAATGGAGACTGAATGACTTAGAACAGAACTATGCATGTCCATACAGTACAAAATCTGGGATAGTTTCAGCCTCCAAAGAAGGAAAGTACAAGGAATCAGGACAAGTCATGCCATTTTTCTTATCATCAAAACTGGGTGAGCAAGTGTGGAAATGGAGCACTGTAAATGGAAGAAACACTCAAGAGCTACACAATCAGGAGTGCCTGACTAGAACCAAGGTCTGTGCCTGAAGTCTTACATTTTCGACCAATTCAGATTCAGGAGATATTTCACCTGAGCACTGTCCTTGTGCCACTGTGCCTCCTGCTTCATGGGCTCCATCCCTCACTGCTGGCTCCTAACGCTGGAGAGCCAAAAGCAGCCCTGCAGGGCACCAACAGTTAAGGTGTATTTCTTTGCAGGCTCTAACACTGCACAAGGCTGGAGTCCCTTGATGGCTACTGTGAACTCTGTTATGTGGGAATACCTTTTGAAAAGCCTGTCAGCCCTTTTCACACACTGCAGAAATTGCCAAGAGAGGGGTTGGAGATGGCTTAATGGGAAGCTTAGAGACTCACACTCAAAGTCCTCTCACTCGCAGTTCTGTTGCTATGCATACCACAGTCACTGTGAAGGTACAGAGACCTATTCCTCTGCACACTGCAAGGTAACTACCCTGCTTACACCTTCTCACCTCCGTTCGACTGAAGTCCCGACTCTGCTGACCGCCTGGCAACGACTCAGAATAAGAATCAAATAGTGTGCAGTCACGCATGGGCTTCAAAGAAGCTGCAGGGGAAAGAAAAAGAAAGAAACAAAACGAGACACATGCCAATTCTTTGGTTAATACACGCTTCTTAAAAACCTGTTCCAGCATCATTTTGCCCTTCATTTCTACCTACCAGAACTCATTTGTAAGTCACGGATGACAAACACCATGAAGAAAATCTTTCTGTTTTGCATTCTGAACAAGTCAGTGTTATCAAAGGGATAGTATGCATAATTTCTGTTGTAGAAATAATTGTGAAATTTGGGAAAAGTTATGCTTGGCAAACATTAACTCCCAAACAACAATTTTACTTGCATTTTTCCTCCTCACAGTCCATTATCAACTTAGCCGGCCTTACAGCTTATACCTTGCTGTCTTAGGAATGTTAAAGGTAGTAAACAAACCTTCAACTCTAATTTTTGACATTTTGAATACCGAAAAGTATAGTAGAATCTACATTATACACCAGAATTGAAGGCTAGCAAAGAGCAAGGACACCTGAACACAGTAGATGCTGCAGTATATACCCTCTTTATCTAAACATCATTGAGACTAGACAAATGAACAAAACCAAACAAACAAAAAAATCAACACTAACTTCTCACAAGAATTTTCACAAGAACCTCATTTCAATTCCACAATCTTAGATCCTTCTGCTGATATCACTCTGGAATTAGTTCCTCTGAGATAAATCTGTCATAACAGCTGGAAAACAGCTTTTCTTAAGATCAATACACAGAAAGGCAGGATAACCAGTTCTCACATCAAATTTCTAGTTTCTGGCTAGCACCTAGTTTTTCTGAATAAATTCAGTTCTTGCAAATCTGTCTTAATTTACAATACAGTGGGTTGCATACAGGACAAATAGCTTTACAGATTCTGTAAATTAGTTTTAATAAAAACTTTCAGAAAAGAAGGTGGTGGGTCAAATTGTTAATGGAGCTGTGCCAGGATAGCACTTGGATCTGTGCTTGAAGTTTGTAGAACAAGCCATAAAACTAGAAAGATTAATTCATTCTTAAATGCTCTGTCTTATGCCTGAAGTCACTTTATTTGAAGCTTTAACACTCTTATCAGATGCAAATATTTCACTTGAACCAAATTCTGCCTCATTTTAAAACTAATACAACAACCTAATGCAAAACAGTTTCCAGTAATCTTCATCTGGTTCCTAAGAAGCCAAAAAACCCTTGTTTTAAAAAATTTAAAAATCAGGGAAAAAAAAATAATCTGCTTCACAGAAATCAAGTTATGAAAACAAAAAGTTTCTCTTGAAAATTTCTTCTGACATTTTAGGTAAGTGTATGAGGCACTTGCTTACTTATCAATGCTTTCATTTCAGAAGTTGTCACAACCAGGGCTCTACACTTTTTGTGATTCATGGTGTTACAGTGTGTTGAGATGTCTTGCTTTTTATTAAACTAACTAGAATTAGCATATTAGCTGATGTACTTAGAGTGCCTACAACAAATAATTAGTTCTTTCCCCTCTTCCTGGTAGATCAGCTTTAAATGCTTCATTGCATGCCAACACCATAAACCAATAATCACCTCTGAAAGTGGCAAAGACCCCAGTACTGAAAGGGACAAATTAGGGAAAAAAGGGACTCCCAGGGAACAACCACAGCTTACCATGCTCTTCCTCCCACTGACATAATGATTCCCTGCTACTAGAGAGAGTTATTTCCACTGCAGTTTCACCCAAGAGGTTTAATGTGAGGACACACCAACAAGAACCTGCATGGAGAAGCTTACAAGCTAATTTATCATGAGAAAGGCATGAGAGTACTGAACAAAGTGGTGGCCCTGGAGGGAAAAGGTTAGTTGTCATTATGACAAGGGAAAGTAGTTAGAGAGACTAAAAGTGATGAAGACTTGGAAGCACATGTTTTACAGGAGCTTCTTGCTTTGTATATTAAGGCAGTGAATTATAATGAACATGGCTCCACCAGAATTTACTTCACAAATCTGATACAGGGTGAACATTTAATTTTCCTAACTGCAGCTTGATTTGCTCTTTTTCTGTCTTAATATATTCAGTGTCATCAAATTTAATGGAGATTTTATTAGGTCTTAAATATTATCCCTTAGCACTGTAATTATCATCTGTGATTAATCCTCCTTGCCCTAGAAAGTCATGCACATTTTTTAGATGAAACAGTACATATTTCAATGTTCATTTCTAATTATAAGAGACATAACTGAAGGGAACAAACGAAAGGGCAGGTCTCTCACTGCACATTGTTACTGGGGTATGTTATACTTCAGATTAATTCATCCTTGTGCTACACAACTGTTGTAATCCCTCCATCATTACTGCAAATTATTTATAGAAGAATCTGTGGATTACACAAAATGAATTACAAAAAATTCAACCTTTGATACAACTGGTAATGGCATCTAACAAAATATATTACCGTAATAAGTTCTAAGACAGTCCAGTACTGTTTTCAACACATATTCAAGAGACGTATAGTTAAGGGAAAAATCATCAAAATAGTTAAAAGCCATGTAACTTTTGTTGGATTATCTTTGCTGCAGGTAATCACCTGCCACTTTAGCTACAAAAACACCTGAAGCACACTGGAGCAGAGGCAGACATTAAGAGGCAGGTAACTGCTACACTTTGCATCGCTATTTTGTGCTTTTATATATTCCTTCTTCAGCAAATGCCTCATAACACAATAAAAATGCATGCATTAAAAAGCAACTGGAGAGCCATTATGCGGTGTAGAACCCCATCCTACCTGCAGGATGGAAAGTGAAACCTGTCTTACACGCAAGTTGGCTTCTGGAGATGGCTACAGGAACACAACCCGCCGCAGGGACATTACCTGCTTGAAGGTACTCGGGTAGCAGCGTCTCCGGCAGCGTCTCCGGCAGCTGGTAACCATTCTTCCTCGCAACCACGAGGTGGAAAGCGGCACAAAACTCTGGGAGTGTCAGCGCCCCGTCGCAATCCACGTCACTCAGCTCCCTGCAGGTATGACAGGCACACATTTTCCAAGCCACTACCTCTGGGAATCATACATGTACAATCACAGGGGAGACAGAAATGCAACTCTGAGAAGGGATATTTTAATACAAGACAAGCATCTCTGTCATTTTCCACTTGATCCTAACTTGTACATTTGTCTCAGGGAAGATGAAGCAAGCTAATTTTCTAATACTGACTTGTTGCTTTTTTTCTTTATTAAGTACATTTTTTGTTATACATTACACCATACAATATGAAGGTATGTATGTATTATAACATGAAACACATATCCTGTAATTCCAGGCTGAAATTAACTTTCCAGTGGTTGGAAGCACTTTTGGACAATCCATGCAGATTCTTGAACCAGTTCAAGCAGAAAAAGTTAAAAATGGACTTCAGCAATGGTTACTTAGCACCATTGACTAGCCTCAAGGAAAGAGCTAAATAATGCTCTTGACAAGTTTAAATGTTATTGTTAATTTCTCACTAAAGTGGTTCTCTCTAATTCTGTGATGCTTCTCAAACACTAAAACTGGACTTCAAAAATTCAAGAACTCAGTTCTACAAATTAACTCTGCAAGAATTGAGTAATATTTTATCATGAGCACATGGACTAAAATAAACAACTCCCTACTCTTTGAAAGTAATGAGCATTTGTCAAGCTGTTGAGGTTATAGTAAAGACTGAAACATTCCATGTTAACACAGCAACACAACCTGATAAATCAGATCATCACAAAATTATCTACTAGAAAGTTTTCTTTAAATTTTTTACAGAGCACAACTTATGTCAGCAATAGAAATGTGTTTTGTTAACATATTGGGTTAATTCATTCTTCTTAAGTAACCTTAAATTTAAATTCCAACAGTCACTTCCCCCAACACTCAGAGTTGGGGTTTTTTTACTTTCACAACTGACAATCTGCTTTGAAGATTCCAGATACAATCTTTGACCCTGACAGATGTTAAGCTCTTGCAAGCTTTTCTTCTCATCTCTCTTCATAAAAGCATATATAAAGTAAAGTCTCTATCAGCATTTCTGATTAACGTTTAAAACTGTTCGTTCTTCCTATCTGAGATGCAAGTATGACACTGAATTACAAAGCACCATGTTGTTTATGAAAATATAACAGAATCTTCGTCAAATTTTATCAGGTACAGATCCATCCATCCGCAATCATTTCTAAATATGCTTATTAAAAGTAAGTGTGCTAGTTCATTAGAAAAGCACTGATGAATTATGTAGTTGTGCTTACTAAAAATTAGGCATTAATTAAGCCTCCTCTGACAAAACACAGCCAGAAACATAAACACATCTAAAACATTTCAGAGGTGCTTCTCTGTGCATTTCATGAAAAAAATGTCAGTTTGTTGAGCTAATGATGCTGCTTACAATATACTTAAAACCAGCTCTCACTTATGTCTCTGTTCAAACCTTCCCAGTCCAGCTGAGTAGGTGAACATCTCTCCAGAAAACAACCATGTCAGGGAGATCAATGAGCACCCTGCTGCTTGGACCTAAAAGTGATTCTGGAGATAAGAGCGATAATTTCAATTGAAGACATTTTTCAAAATCTAACAAGAACTCTTGAAATAAGCATCTTCAAAAAAAAGAAAAAAAAAAACCTCATACATATCCCCAGCACTATTACAGTACTTACCAGATGTGAGAAAGCTCTGGGATGGGCAGCTTTGACTTTGTGAAGAAATTCTTTGCCACAGAACCTGTTGGGAAACCGTGCCTTATCAATCACTAGAAATTAATCCTCCAGTTTTTCACCTTTGGCCAGGGCCACCACATCAGAAGCAGTTGGTTACTTTATGTCCAGATTAACTGGATGCTAATATAATTGTTGGACCATTTGTCTCCTGCTGAGTAAGTGACAGAGAAAGCCAGAGCTGTTGACCTCATTTCTCCATTCCCTCCACATGAGAAAAAATAAGGAAAATATGCTTTAGTACTAGTGATTCTAACCAGCATAATTAGTATGCCATCCATGATGAAATCAGACACAAATGGCTCTGCTTCACCCAGAAGCCATGTGTATGGCAGTATAGTCCTGTAGTGTCTGCACTGCTCTCCAAAGACACTGCTTCAACCATGATGTTTCCCTGCAGTGGCTCGAATTTTATGGGGAAAAAAAAAAAAACAAAACCAACAACACTCAGGAGAGTGAGCTAGCACATAGCCTGCGCATATAGGATGGTGAAGAAGCGGATTTGTTAGCCAGGAGAAGAATGAGAAGGGTTGTTGCGGCAGGGTGAGTGAGGATGCCTGCAAAAGGACAGCAGCTGTTGGAGGTACCCTGGTAGCCCTTCCTGGATACAGTCTTACAAAACATAAGGAAACATATAAAGTGCAGACTTTGAGGTCTATATTCCTCTTCCTCTTGGGTGTTCAGGTCAGCTCACCCACTGCAGTACATAAGAAAAGCTGTCACTGGGGCGGGTCCAAGACACACCTCACACAGAATGTCCTCCCCAACACCAATGCCAAGAGAGGACAATGTGATCATGACAAAGCCAGGTAATAGTAATGTACCTCCATAATACCTCCCAACCTCTTGACCACCTACGATTCAGTAACTTTCCCAAGCAGAGGTAGCACTTAAATATTCAATAGCTTCTGACAGATTTTTCAGTTACAGATTTCTCAACTTCTTAAACCTAGACAAACCTCTAACATCTGTATCACCCTGCAGCAAGGATTTCTACACCTTATTTTAGGATGTTGTGAAAGCTCAAATTTGTCATTTAGAAACAGTAATTTTGGATGTCCAAGGACTGCCTGAGAACCTTGCTCAACATAAAGGAAAGTGCACAACTACCTGAGAGGCTGTATATACATATATACATGCATACACAGTTACAGACATATATGTCTGTGAGGAAATACAATGTTGTTGAACAACACTTTCTCTTTCAAGCAAATTAAATGAAGGAGACTTAACTGAGGCAAAGAACTGGTGAAGCACTAAATTTTGTCATCAGCAAGTAATTTATTTAAACTTTTGGCTGGATGAGAGCCTCCCAAACCCGAGTAATACAGCAAAGCTCAGTAAAACTGCCTCAGTTTAAAACCTGTGATGTCTTCCTTGCCAGATCAACTGTCTGTACCCACAGTCACTACTCTCATGATCAGCCTGATTCTCCTATTCAGGACAGAAACACAATCTCAGTATGCTGTTAACAATACTTTTACCACATGTGTGCTCTCCAGGATTTGCTTTTAATCACCTAAAGGTCAAAATCTCAATCCCTTAGGGCCACAAACACCCAGGCATGACCACAAAGGACAGTTAACTGCATGCTTCACTTCCATCACATGGACACTGCCACATTTCTGCTGGGAAAGCAAGCAGACCCTAAGGGTTTTTTCAGCTCAATATATGCTACAGGTGTGATCCACAAATTTAGTAGACCAAATACTGATAGCTCATTTTAATTTCTACCGAATCACCAACACTGCTCCCTTAGATGTAATTGTTTTTCTAAAATCAGTATGTTTAGCAAAATATATAATAGCCACAGCACTGGTTTTATCTTTGAGTTGTGTGCCTTTAAAAAGAAAACTCACACTCACTCCAGAGAGAAAAAAAAAATTCATCTGCTTAACGCTTCTCAAATCTCAGCCTGGTCCTTCTACTTGACATGTACAGCATTTGGTAAAAAACTACCTGAAATAAAAGAGTTCAGGTCAGGCTGCAGGGACCTGAACTGGTTGATATAGTAGTCTCGCTGCTCCTCCGTTATCCTCCAAGGGTCATCCGAGTAGTGGCTGCTGCTGTCCTGCTGTTCCCGCTCCACTGAAAGAGACTGAAGAGAGGGATGCTGGCACTGGTTGAGGCAGGGGCTAAAAGGGTCAAGTGGGGCACTGGGAAGCTCATGAAACCAGTTTCACTCTCTTCTAATAGCAGACACATATTTTAAAAAGATGAGAAGCAGAAACGGCCATGCTGATTACAGTTCCACTACTTATCTGTTAAAGCTGAGACTAGTATCAGGTGTCTTTACCCAGGCAATTAAAGGAAGTTTTACATAACCAAAACTAAAAGAAAAGAGAAATCTTACTACTGCTAACTGCAAGAAGTAAAGTCCAAGTCATACTTTATTACCTCTGGATTAATTTGGGGGGTTAATTTGGGCTGTCATGCATTACAACCCTGAACTGCACACTGTACACCTGAAATGGATGGAAGCAATAAAGGACCTAAAGCTATATTTATACAGCATGATGCACGAAAATTCAGTTTTGCTAAAAAACTACATATTTAGTCTAGGAGTGGTGCTGTAACTACAGAGCTTCTGGACCCTCCTCTCACCTAGGCAACCTGGCACATGTTATGCCAATCCAGGGAGACATGCAAACCCATAGAGACCTCCTCAACCTTCTGTCACTTCACACGGCTTAGGTAAAATCCTACTTTTTACTTTTTTTTTTTTTTTTTTTTTTATTACCTACTAATTACCTAATCCAGAATATTCTGGAGGAGAAAGACATTTTATCAATCTATGTCTTTGCTTTCTGATTGACTTGTTTAAGGGAGGTCTGTATGTTAGGTCGGGTTGTGGTGTCTAGAAGAGTGCTGCCGGTACAATTAGTGCCTTTGTTAAACTGGAATGACTGAGACTTGGATGACAAGACTCTTAAAGAGGAAAGGCAAGAATGAACAATAACCAGACACCAACCAGGTCCAAAACCCATTCTCTGACATATCTATCCACTTCCTAAGAATCAAATGCAAAACACTGGTTCTGAAATACATCAAAAGTTCCCTGAAACAGGCAATATCATGAAACTGTAAATTAATTTTCCTTTCAAAGTGTTACACAAATGCACTCAATTTCATTTCAAGTTAGCACAAAATATGCAACACTACTAGATCTTTTCCTGAGGCTCAGATGCCATTTTATTATGGGTTTGGGGTGCTAAGCACTAGGGAAAAGCTAGAGTTTGAGTCTCACTTCTTTAGGAAAAGCTCTGTCTTAGGAGAGCTTTATCCTCCTTCCTTATGGCAAAATACCCGTTTGCGTAATAAATGCACAGCAGGCATACTGGAACACTGGAAAGATCTGATTTTGCAAACAGCAGGAAAAGATAGGACCCACATCATAAAAGCAAGCAAATGACCAGAAATTCATTATTCTGTTTGTGATGCGATTTAACTAACTGCGGTGAAAAAAGAGAATACACAGAATATTAGGCCATAAATCCTATGCACGTGTTACAGAATTCTAAATCAAGCAGGAACCTCTGAGAAACCTCATGTATTTTATAAATGAAAATGTTTTACTTCTGCTAGGATAACCACAAATTTATTTTTTTTTTTTTACGTTTCAACTGAAGATTCTTAATCTAGTTTTCCTATCTATGTTATTTGGTGCTTCTCATTCTACTGTGCTTCAGTAATTTAATTAAGTGGATTATTTATTTTAATTTCTCCTTCACATCAGCTTCTTTTTCCATGCACTAAAAAAGCAGGCTTCAGTCTCTAGTCTAAAAACACCATGAAGAACACTTTTTACTTTTGAAACGAGAATTCTTCTGCTTTTTTTTTTTTTTTTTTTTTTTAAACATGCAATTCATTACCCGATTAAGAGTTGAACAGGTGACTGCAGATTTGGCTCCATAATTCCCTGATGTTAGTCCATCTTGCTGGTGAGTAGAGTGTCTGACTTCATAAGGAGCTATAGACATTTAAAGTATATAAAAGAAAGCATAAGCAAAAAGATTCTAGTAGGCTAAAGGAAATAATTCAATACCACAAGGTGAAGAATCCAGTTTGTGAACCTAGTATCACAGTATCAAAGTCCATTTTGCCAAGTATCTACCAAGCGAACCTTGTAGCACAGTATCAAAGTCCATTTCGTCTTCTGCAACAACATTGCAGTCACATACTTGCCTTCCACATTACATCATTCTTCTTCAGGCATTAATGATAGAAACTGTCAGTTATATATTACTAGATAACAGAAAACATTGTCATGTTGAAATATATATTTATATAGCCTGTTTATATATTTATACATTTTATATACTTATACCCATATATAGCACAACACTGCATTACAAAGAATAGTTCAACTGAGCTGCAAAAAAATATGCTTTGACAATGTTATCAAATAGAAAATCACTGATTTTCTATACAATCTTCCCCCTTCCCTAATTTCTGTTGAAAATTACAATTACTACTTCTTTTGCTAAAATAAGTCACATTCACTGCAGCAAACACAGTAAGTAGTGACATAACAGAACGTTTAGAAACAATGTTTTAAAAATAGGCCAAGTATGCAATCACAAAGGCAACTCCCTTGCAAACGCTTAAAGCTGAGAACTTCTGCTGCCAGCCTATTTAAAATTTGCCACTAGAGTCAGCATTAGATAGACAGAACTTAAGACTCTTGATGAAAAGTGAAACCAAGAAATCTTAAAAATTTTGAACTCAGGAAGACCTTAGAAATTATACTGCTAACCTCCTTGCTTTCCTAAGTGGTCTTATCCTGTATCGGTATCTATTTTTATTCCTGTACAAGTAACTCCTAATTTCAGAAAAAAAACACAGGAAGGAAGTTGGGAAACATACAGACGCTTTTGGAGAGGAGATTTAAGCACAAGGTCACACTGCTGTGTGTCTGCTAGCAATAAAAACTTCAAAAACTATCAGGAAAAACGTATATAGTCACAGTTGCAGTGCAAAGGGCTACCCTTGAAGACACATCATCCAGTTTCAGCGTCAGACCTACAGTACAGACCAGCCCACCCAGCTCAGTGCTGATGCTACCACCTCCTGCACATACTAGGGTGTGGCGGCTTTCAGACCTACCCTTTCACATGCTCTTCAGAAAACCATAAGGGTCCTAATCTTCAAGGCCAGGAACAACCAGTAGGTCACTTAGGCTGGCACTTGGCACAACATGGGCCATAAAATGTTACCCACTTACTGTCACTGAGAACACATTTGGCTGAAGTATTCCCTGTGGGATTAAGTTAGAAGAGACTCCCTTCCCGTAAAACAACCGAAGTGTTCTGCATCTCTAGGATTTTATCACCTTAAAAATTCAAGCAATTGAATAATTAATTTTAGATGTCATTGTTAGCTGGATTGAACGCTGCTGCCTCTACTCTGCGCTGCTGCTGACTCCATGAGAAGTTTCACTGAAGTTACGTTTGCAACCAAATTCAGAGGAAAAAAAGAAAATAACACCCAAAATACACCCCCACTAACACTGACAGATCTAGGACAGAGTCCCAGAAAAGAGCAGGGCATGCAACATGCAACCCAGTCTGCTGCTCCCAATGGCCACCTCCCGCCCGGCTCTTCCAAGTGTGGGCTATCTGCCACACATCTTCTTCACTGGAACAGAACATGCGTCATCCCAGAAGGTGACTTCACTACTGCTGCTTATTTCAGAAGTCAACCACCACTGTTTTAATCAGTTATGCCCAGTGTGGGGTGGGGGAAAATGCCATCTCTGAACAAACAGCAGTTTACTTAACCAGCAAATGAATGCCTGTGACTCAGTACTGGTATGATTTCCACATGAAGGCCACTTGATAGTGTTGAACATATTCTTACCATGGCTGTAGTGACTTTCAAAATGTTGTAATTGCTCTGTTTTTTTCACTCATTTGTAAACAAGGACAACAGATAGAGGACTAGTACACTCCTCACCCACTGTAAACACACTAACTGAAAGCCAGAGGGATGATATACCGCAATGCCAGGCACCATCTTGGTAACCAGATGCTGCAGTTAGGAGGGCACAGGCAACTATTAATGGAAGTTTGTAAAGCCTTAGTAAAACTGGCTTCTGCCCTACTACCCTCTTACTAAAATCAAAATGTTTTGCCACCTACTCTAATGGCAGTGAGATCAAGGACAGAGCATCTATGCAGTGCCCTATTTCTTGCTGTTTTTTCTAAGTTACCTTGTGGGACTGTTTTTATATTCATTTATTATTTTTATATTGTTATTTCCATTATGAAACCAGAGAGATTATTCTTTCCTGCCAAGGAAAGTTGACTGCCAATCTGAAAACTAATATAGCAGCTACTGAAATCAGAAGTGGGTTTTTCTTCTCCTCTAATGAAACCGAAAGCATCATGCACTCTGAAAATATTAATACTCACACTCTGTCATTGGGATATGTTGCACATAGTCTTGTCAGAGATCAGGTATTAGCATTTATCTGCGAGCAGTGACACATAAATCTAACTAATTTACCAGAAAACGAACAGGATTGAATAATCAAAATAAAATTAGATGATTGAATCATTTTCTAAAATACAGGTCTAATTAAATGTTAAAATTATTAGGCTGTCAGTTGCATTTGAAATGTGGATGCTTTTTGAGAAGGGAAAAAAAAAAAAAAAGAATTGAATACAATGTGCACATCCCAATTTTTATCCTACCTCCATGCTGCTGCTCCAGCCCACTTCTTGTTTTACCATATCCATAACTTAAGGGTATTCTCTGGTAAGTAGATGGAGAAGCAGGAGGTGAGCAGATTGGAGACATCGGTGGAGACTTGAGTTCCTATTTCAAGAACACACCAACACAAAACGGAATTCTGAGACAACAGCAAAACAATCAAGTAATCCTAAATGGCAAACTGAATGTGTACAACGTGATGGACAAAGTAAAAGCAAATGCTGTAGTTCTCTGAGGCCCTTTATTTCCAAGAAAAGTCTCCTTCAAAACCAGAAGTTGGTGAATACAGAATTTGATATTGAGCCTCCTAGGGGTAGAGCATGGCAAAGCCATAGCAAAGCTTTACAGCTTAAGGTATTTTACTTCCAAAGATGCCTGAAGAAGTACATGTAGGATGGTTAATGTGACTGGTTATCTTTATATTTACATAACACATTTATTTAGGGTGAGTGTATTCTTTGTGGGAGAATGTTTTTCATATAAAACACAAAAAATTTAAATAAATCTCTGAATTAGTATTTTAAACACTCTGTGGATTTGTAGGTGTTACTGAGTATCTATCCTACAGCGTTCTCTTTCCCTTAACAGATTGTTTAGGAAGAGGATGTGATCCTGAAACAGTCTACATGTAAAAAAGAAAATATAACACAGCCCAGACAACCTAGATGGAGCCAGAGGTCTGAGGGCAGCGTTCTGCTTCAGCATCAGTACACATAGACAGATAGGCACCCATGCTCCTCTTCTTTATCCTGTTATTCCACCTGTGTATCTTATCATCTCATTCCTGTTGGTTGACCTCAGGATGGGAACGCCGTTACTCACGTCAATGCACCATGTGATAAATGTGTGCGTGCATTATGGGAAGATAATCTCCTGCCACCAGGCATTTACAACATGACCTGATATGGTACCAGAAGAGGTGTTGGGCCTGGGGAAAATTATGAAAAATCAAGGTTGCACTGTGAAGCTGCTTGTATCTGAGTAAGTGCTCGCAGCTATCCTAAATACATGTAATACAAATCTCCCTTAGGCAGCTTTATTAAATTCTCCAATAAACAGTGCTGGACCAAGTAAAAGGACAACACTGAAAGAACTTACACAGCATATTACAGAGCCGACAGCTTTATACAAGCTCATATAGAGAAATTCCCTTCAGGGATGCAACTTGGATGCATCAAAATCATCTCTTGTCTAATACTGCAAAACTTTGTAAGCTAACAGGACTGTAATTGTTTACAGGACTGGACCCAAAAGGAGGATGAATAGTCACATATTGGCATGAAGGAGACAGGCCTGTTACCTGTTTGTCCCCTTCATCTGTTCTTTTGTAGGAATTTTTTTCCAAAGGTGCATGTGGAACCTGAAATTTAACTCCATGGTGTTCTGCTGAAGTCCCATAACGTACTTCACTGTCATTTTTCAACGCCATAAACCGTGGCAGAGGCAATTCTTCATTAAAAGAGAAAAAAAAAATCAATTGAGAGTACAAAACATTAAAAGTACTTTAAGCAGTATTGTCTTGTAAAACCAATGAAAAGTTTGTCTATAAAAGAGAACTATTTATATTTTGTAACATTTATAAGTGTGGAACTCTTGTTAAAACAAGACTTGATAAAAATGTGAATGGTACACAAAGCTACATTCACTAGCTTAATATATTATTTCTCCACGCAAGGAGAAAGAAATAAGCCTTGTGCACGTTAAAGCAAGTGGCAAACTCATTTCCTGCCTTCAAAACGTTGTCTGTAACGAAAAGAATAGTTTTCCACAGAAACTGTGGGACTGATGAATTAATCAGTTAGGATCACAGCATCCTCAATGCTGCCATCATAAAAGAAACAAATTAAAAATGGTAGGGTTTAGAGATCATGCCAAGCCCTGGTGTCAAAAGGTCCCACACTGCATCTGCTCTGCAGAGAAGAGTAGTGACACTTTGTCACTCTTTAAGACAATTCAGGATTATTTTCATGAAACACCTTTTTTTGTTGTGCAGCCACCCTGAAAGATCAATACAACTAAAATCAGCAGAATGCTCAAAACTAAGCAAAGCCATACATCACCTCTGTAATCATTTACACCTACAGCTACTACCAGAAGGAAAAAAATTAATTGAGTTTGGTGCATGTCACTCTAAAGGAACTCATACATTTCAAGAGAAAATGTAATGAACACTGGAAGGGTTTCAGTAACAGTAAGTAAGCAGGCTATCAGTACAAGGACTGCAAGTACCCTTCTTCACTCGAATTTGTGGATTATCTGCAGAAGCTGGACTTGTAAAACATATAGTCTCACTTAGTTCAGGTTTCTAATTCAGTCTGTTAGGTTTTGCTGTGATTTTTATTTTTCCAAATTAGCATCCTTAAAAAGGGCGACAATGCAAGAGAGAGCACACAAGCTGTCTGTAAGAAAAACTGACAGACAAACCCAGGCCACCCCGCTTTAGCCCTGGTTTAAACTCCCCTGCCAGCACGGCACCAAACCAAACCACACCAGATGCATCTGATCCCGTCCACTTGGTCAGGCGCTCTGCACCACAGGAGCACAGCTCACACAGGTCGGTACAGGCTTTCCAGCCAGGCTTCCACTTCGGGATGGGCCAGGCTGGGAAACCCCCTCCCTGTGCCCTGCCACATAGGTGAATTCACATTTTGTTGTCCTTAGCAGGGACAGCAGAGCAGAAACTGCGCTGGGAGCAGTGACCTGATTGCGAGACTATGGGTAGGTCCTGCCTTTCCTCCTTTCTGATCTCCTGGCCAGTTGCATTGCTGCCTTCAGCGGGATGGTGGCAAGCACTCCTGCTCAGAACACAGACTCAAAGCCCAGTCTGAATGCCTGCCTGGGATATGGGAGCTAAGGGTTCAAACCTGTTCAGGCTCAAGCCCAAGTGAAAAGCCATGTGTTTTGCAGCCTGAGCGCTGCTGAAGTAGAGCATGCATCAGCAAGGCAAGAACATCGAGCCCCTTCCATTTAGTCGCTATCAAGGTTTCACAGCTAAAAGGGACCTGCTTTCTCTCTTCATCCTTGAGTTTGATATGCCTCTTAAAGAAGCGTTTTTCTCTACCAAGAAGGGTACAATTAATATTACTGTCAATTCACCAAGAAGACAAAGCTGTTTTACATTATATCTAATGCATGTTTTTATACCTACTGATAGGATACACCATGATTTTGTCACCATTACCCATTTATTTCAGCAGGATTATTTGCTAAAACAGATGAGTGTTGCAAACTGCCCTGCACAGGGGGACCCCTGACCTGCCCACATCCCCCACAACACACCTCCACCCAAAGCAGCTATCAGCTCCCACTCTGCAGAGCTGTCAAGATCAGAGGCTGAAGGTGAGAGAGAAATGCATCCCCAGCACTGATAAGCTGTCATTCATGCCATTCCTTTGGTAATGCCTTTTCCAGAGGGGGATGTCATCTCAGCTTTGCCATAGATGTAATTCACTGCAATTTTCTACCAGTCACTTAGAGAATGTAACATTACCTTCTACTCTTTCTTTGCTCCTCAAAATACGATTGTTTCACAGACACATTAGAACAAAAGGTTTACCACCACAGAGTGGTGACAAGCAAAAACTAAGTGCATAGCACTGTAAACAAGATTTGTTACTTACCATTCTTAATGCTCTCAATCCGTACTGGGAACCCTGACTGTGCTGCTGCAATTAACTTCAAAGCAATATAAAATTGAGCAGGACCAAAATAACCCACACGCTTGGCTCCACAAATTTCTGTAATCTAAAAGAGGAGAGACACATAGTTGGTTAAATGCATTTCATTCTTCCAGGGAACGTAAATATCTCTGCACAAACAAAGAAAAAATTCATTAAATGCAAAACGCTTGTTGTATTTAAAGTTTTCTATTAAGTGTATTTGTTTCAACTCAGGACATTGCTGTCTGATCACATTCCCCTTAGTATATCAGAGACAGATAGGTAGCTGTTGAGCTTTTCAGAAGCATTACTGAGTAACACTGCTATCCTAAACCAACCTAAAACATACTACGTATGATTTTAATAGCAGGTGAAATAACAACTTGTTAGGTACACCATCCAGTAAAACATTTCCGCTGAAGAATCTAAGGTATTCACAGAAAAATGTACTTAGTATTAGCCCTTACAACAACAGTTCAGACAAATACTGTACCGGGAACATGAACACAACACGAAAAACACTTCATCGCACCTCTCGTGCAGAACACTTTGTGAAAAATTAACATGGTCTCAGCACTGAAGTTTGATTTCTATATATACTTCACTGTTTGCTTCATTCAGCCACCTCTACAAAGCAAACAGCTCTACGTTCACATGCTCAGACTACAGCTAAACAAGCAACAGCTACCAGCAGGTTTTAAGCACAGGTGCCAATGCTCCCATGCCTGGAGCTCCCAGATGTTCACAAACAAACCTCTGCTGGGCATCGATGTTAGAAAAAAACCCCATTCCCCCCAGACATAAAAGAAAGCCCCAAACTGTTTTCCCCAAAATACATCTAGATTGGCAGTGTCTGCTGGTGAGGTGCATCACCCATGTGCAGCATGACAGTAGAGCTGTGCTGTTTCTTCACTGATAAAGTGCTGCTCTCCAGAAAATCCCATCCACAGACCACTCCCAAGCTACAACAGCCTGACAGAAACTGCTCCCAGATCATATATATAAACAAATAGCACAAATGAATAGTCTGGTTTTTCTAATTTATTTTTATGTGTATGTGTGTGTGTATATATATATATATATACACACACACACACACACACACACACACACACACACACACGCTGTGGCAAAACTTCAGGTGAAACTATTACTGAAAAACCAAATGTTTTGGAATGGTAATTCTTACTAACCAAAAAAAGTTATCTTCAAGGAAATTCTTTCTTCTCTGGATGTGGCTTCTGCTTTGACTAAATGAGCTGTGGCTTTCTTCTCTTCCTGCGAGTTTTGGAGATGCATGGTTTAATTCCTTGATCACAAGATGTAACAAGCAGCTTTCTTTTTTCTTACTGCTTGACGAAAAGGGAGATTGATTCTGTGTACAAGAACTCCTTGGAGGAGAGCTGTGCCTTGTCCAGAACATGGAATGGAGTCAAACACATCGCATCCACCTCAGTGGATGGCACTATCCAGATCCCACTGTTGCAGAGGGCTCCCCACTGCTATAGGGAACGACATTGCCCATGGTGGGGTCCTGCTGCACCAGTGCATTCCCCACCAGAAGGCTATGGGGGTCCCGCAGCAGGTGGTGACACCACAGGTAATGCCCACCGTGCTGCGGGAGCAACACCTGCCTGCCTGCAGTATGGGCATGCTGCCGGGACAGCCCATCGTGGTACCGGCACTGTTCTGGGAGGGCTGGGCAGAGCATCAGCACCATTTCTGAACTCCAAAGCAGGTACTGGCTTCCTTACCCTCATCTCTGGATGCTCCTAAGTCACTCAACCTCGCTGCCCACACCTCCCGCTTCTCCACAGTCCTTCCCCACCAGTGTCCCTGGTTCTGCCTGGTGCAGAGGCGCGGAGCACAGCCCATCAGGTTTGATCCACGACAGGGAGTGTGCATGGCAGCTGCAGCCCAGCCAACTCCCCAGGGCACAACTGCCCAGGCACACCAGACCCCCACAGCTCTGGGGACAATGTTGCAGCAGCAGGTATGTGGGAAGCCACTGGCTGTGGGCTTGCTGCATGTCCCAGGTGTGTAAGTTCAGCAACCTGGGGGAAAGCAGAGGGAGAAGGGGCACAACCATGCTGAAATTCAGTCTGGGTACACAGCCCTGGTTTGCCACGGGAGAGGTTTGTTAAACAAAGGACAGCGCTGAACAACACAGTTTGCAAAAGCTGGGCATCTGCCTGCACCCAGGTCGTCCTGTGGCAGGGTGTGGGCACTCGCCTCCTGCATGACCCACAAACAGTGCCCAGGATTGCAGCTGCTGTGACACAAAAATGGCATGCAAAATCCCTGGGTGTATCCTAGAGGGATTTTTCTCCACTTGGGCTGCTTTCCTGCCATGGCATCCTATTCTTGCTGGCACGGAGCAACAGCATTACCATGATCTGCGCTTCCACTCACCAGCTGCTGGAAAGAGGAAACACTGAGCAACTGGGACTTTCACAGGGGGATTTGTGATGCTATCATCCTCCTGAAAAAATACTGAGAGTTAATTTTCCATATCTTTTTCTACACTTTGAAATATTAAGGTTGCTGAATGCCATAAATGCTTTGCTTGTTCCTGATATGGAAACATGAACATTTTATTCTGATCACGCAGACTAAAAATTTTTATCAAGGATGCACCTTCTCTAAAAAAGACGGTGTTGTTTCTCAAGTGCTCTTACAGCCAATGAACCTGAAACTGCCTCTTCTGTAATTTTGCTCTTTGGTGGTAACAGAAATATATTTTATAGGCACAAGCTCCTCTTTGTTATTTGTGCAACTAAATCCTGATCTCTTTGTTAATGGACTAGCGCAAAAGATGCAAGCTGACAGAGTAGCCAAATTTATTACATAATTAATTGTAGGTATTCATACAGATTAAACTGTAGGTACAGGCATTTACTCTCACCAGGTTTGTTGTACAGTTAAAGGCGAGGGTCTTGGGTTCCTTCCAGAGAACATTTCATACTACCTACCTCAGAACCCTACTTAGAGCTGCTAAGGGGAGCAGCTCCTCTCTTCAACAACCGCAGAGGTAGGTGGCAGATTAGCCTTCATCCAAAATTAATTCCTCAGAACATGCTGCCTGCTCAGATTTCCACAGCAGCTTAAACTGAATACTCTTTTTTTTTTTTTTTCTTTCTTTCTTCCTGGTTTAACCTTTTGCAGGGTCAGTGCACATAGACTCTTGATGGGTAATTACATTTAGTGATATGCAATACTGAAATTAAGCTAATTTGTGCGATATACTGTTAAGTGTCTCCAAGATCCATCTGAATTAAAGGGATTGTATATTGTATACTAATGCGATACAAATTTTTTCAAGCTGAAACTAGACTCTTGCTCTAATAAAACAGAGAGCACTTTGGAAATTATATATATGAAAGTAACACCTAAAAAATACAGGGGAAACATCAGTTCTGCTTTTATCCAACTGACGTTTAAATTCTTTCTATCTTTTCCTGTTGTCTGTTTGGTTTGCATACTTTTCAGCAAGCTAGCAAGAAAAGAACTGGTATTTTCTATTTGTGCACTGCTAAACAGACACACATGTAAACCAAACAACTTGCATATCTTGATACTTCAAGAGATTTTAATACAGAACTACTGACAGTCAATTTTCATTGCCAGTTTTTTTTTAATTCTCCAGCAGAAAACTGTAATCCTCAAGTCACAGCCAAATATTGAAGAAAAGACTAATGAAGAACACATTGAAAATAATTTTTCATGGTGGCAGGTTTCAGTTGTTGCTTGCCAAATCTAACCTCAGGATGATAAACAGAATTAGTCAAAAACTGATCTATTCAACAGTTTTTGAGGCAAGAACACGATGTTGAATGAACTGAGGTTGCTACAAGGTATAACTGCTTCTATGAAACAATTTCCCAGGTCATTTGCCAATTAAGGAATAAAATTCGTTTCACACCACATATGAAAACAACATTTCTTAGAGAAGGACGGAAAGCTGTAGTAATCTAATCTCATATTTGTTCTCAGTCAGTCCTGGAACAGCACTGCTCAGTTCAATGGGATTTCAGCAGGTAGCATTAAAATACACATTCTGTACACGAATCACACCACCTTCCCTAGCAAGCAGCCATAAGAAGGGGAAAAAGCAAGATCTAGATGCCTGCACACCTTTCTGACAGGCCAGAGGTTTTTCTATGGTTGTAGAAATAGATACATTTAAAAAAAAAAAAACAAACCACAAACCAACCAAAAACCACACACCAAATCTCCATCTTATCAATATTAAAATTTAAAGGAAATGACAAGCTATTTGGAAGAGTAGCTGTTTTAAATTATCATTCGCCATACAAACTTTTAACAGAAAAGCTTTACATCTTGAGATGCTGGAACACAAAGCAGATTTTTGTATTTATTATCCACTCAGTGCTCTGCTCTATCGGCTGACAGCAAGTGTTATTTTTGTAATTGCTCCTTGAAGACATCCCACATGAAGCAGCTTTTCCCAGCACAATCCGACATTGTTCCAGCTCTCACCAGTTCTGTCTAAACAAGTTTCCACTGAAGCCTCCCAAGAGCACTGACCTCTCAAACACCCTGGGCAGGTCTAATTTAGATCGCAAGACCTAAACTTCAGGAACATGAGCCTAGAGATGAAGTTTATTTTCCATAAGTAGAAAGAAGAGGTAAAATCAGAAATGACTATTCCATAATCCTATAGGCAGGCTGAGGTGACCATCCTGCATTCTCAAGGGACAGGTTTTCAGCAGTAAGACAGAAGTAGAGCATTTTCATTTAGCCATTAATGCTACTACAGACTCCTCTGTATGTAACTGGCACACAGTTTTTGTCTGTTCTCTCCCCCTGTTGCTACCTGCCATGTAGATGGTCACTGCTTGGCATTTGCAGGCAAACCTAGCCCAAAAGCACTCAAATCTCAGTGCAGGTTGTGAGACTCTGCGAGGAACACATGTAAGCTGAATGCATATTCAACTCATTCAGAAAGAAAAAGAAAACAAGCATCACTGGCTCCTACGTTAAAGAAAATTTTCTTGCTGCACCTTCCATCTCAGCCCAACCCCAGAAAGCACATGTTTTTTTAACTTGTCATTGCTCAAGCTA